AGAGGATATATTATTAGGAACAGTAACCCATTTTCTTCCTGCCAAGGAGGATGCACGACCTTGCCCTTCCAACTGTAAACAGGATAGGTACAGCCAGGTAATGCTCCAACACTGGCTGCGTACTGTGCAATGATTACTTCACTGTCTCACACTCTTCCTGCATTCACTCATGATACTTAACATGTTAAAGCTGGGATGCAAATTGGCACTTGCCCACCAGCCGAGTCAGATTCTCTCATGCTAAATCAGTGTTCACGAATAGCATCTGACCCTCTGACAAATCCAGTAGATTCCCCAACGGTCCGATAGAAGTCTACAACCCACCGGCCCCAGTGTCCCAACTGTATATTTCACAAGGACTTTGACTGAAGTTGTTATATGTGACATGTGACAGTTGTTTGCTGTTTATTGCTGTTTATAAATCTTATGTTTGTTAATAATTTCAATGCCAATTATAAGAAATGCTAAATCTGAAATGTGAGTTTAATTTTATTCTATGGGTCCTGTGAATTTTCAATGGGTCAGACAGACATCTGAAACTTACAGGACCCAATGTCCTGTTACTTTGAAACACCATTTGTGAACACTGCTAAATACGTTAAGGCAGTGTTCAAATTTAAGCATGAAAGTCAGGTGGTCCTTATGATAATTCAATGTCCAATTTTTTTCTCTTCCCCAGAAAAATAATAATAATTTATTTCACTGTCTCACATTCTGTCTTCACTCATTATAGTTAACAATTAAACTGGGATGCAAACTGGCACATGCCCGCAAGCCCAAGTCAGTCTTACATTAAACATGTTAAAGCAGTGTTCAAATTTTAGCATGAAAGTCAAAGGGTCCTTGTCATAATTCAATGTTAAACTTAAAAATCTTAGGGTTCTTAGATTTAGATTGTATATGTCAACCCCGTGGACCCAATGGCCCCCCCTTTTACATCATAAAGGAATCCATTAGCAACCTGAATTTCCAGCTGATCAAGGATGTCCCTACTTCACTTCACATTTGTTTCACATAAGCAGGGCTCCAGATAAGGGCCGTATCGGCGATGTACGGATAAAAAATATGCACAATACGGAAGGACATATTTTGGTTAAAGTAGCAGATACGCACCACAGCAATGGTGTACGGTCTCACAATCATTTACAGTCGTATTTATCCGAAGAAAGTATTGTTTTATTGTTTATTGACCTGTTTACACAAGAGTAGCAATGTTGTGGTGCATACATGAAACGAAACACAAGACTACTGGTACTCCATTAAATTCCATTCAGTACTCTAAATGTACTCTTAAAGTTTTCCAGTACTCTTATATTGAAAAAATAAGGAGTACGTACTCCTGATGTTGAAAAATTATCTGGAGCCCTGCATAAGTATAAATATAATCATATACTGCTCAAACAAATTAAAGAACATTTATTCTTTCAATTTACAATAGCTAATCAGCCACATTATGAAACATTTACTGCAGTAATAGAATTAGGTATTAATTACCTTGTTGTGAGTATATTTGGAATATAATATTGCAATGATGTCATAGTAAAACACATACCCTTTTGATTTATCATGCATAATTGTGAATAACTTGAATATTTGATAATGAAATCCTGCAGGCTGCTTGTTCGCAATACTAAGGATAGACAGTGCATACTGTACGTCATACATAAACTATCTGATCATTTCCTGATGCTAAGCCTTTCAGTCTATTTACTAAGAGCAACTTCCTGCATCGTGACCACATCAACCCAAATTAATAAGCATTTGAACATGGTGGTGGCAAGTATACTTAAGATAGAATGGCATCATTTAAGTGTTCCATCCAAACTGTTAAGTTGTCCTGTGCACCAACCCACCCCCCAGCCCCAGTGTTACACTGGTTATATGTTATTCACTGATGCTCATGAACCATGGTCACTAAGTGTAATGATCCTGGAGGGATCGGACAGTCAGGCTCGCGGACTTGGTTGACACATAAGATTGTATCCCAATTGCATAGAACGATGCTCATGGTGTTGATCACTGGATTGTCTGGACATGATTATTTACAGACCGCTGCCATATAGCTGGAATATTGCTGAGAGCAGTGTAAAACTAAACTCACTCAACAATGTTATTCATCATCGACCACTTTTCAAACTTGAGCATGAATGTTAAAGGATCTTTATGACAAACCTAATGAAAAGGACATTTCGGAAGGGACCTCTTTATAAATTATACAACTAGCCAGTCTTGAGGACCTCTTTATAAATTCCTGACATTGCTAACCCAACAAATGAACCAATCACTTGTTTTTATTTAATTCATGACTGTATTATATTGCTCACCTCCTTTCAGACACCATACATGTCAACCTGTCATTTGTTATTGTTTATTTCGTGACTGAAGTAGGATACTGCACACCTCAATTACCTAACCATGTTTTATTTCAATAGTGAGTGAGTGAGTTGAGTTTTACGCCGCACTCAGCAATATTCCAGCTATATGGCGGCGGTCTGTAAATAATCAAGTGATCAACAGCATGAGCATCGATCTGCGAAATGTGTCATTCAAGTCGGCAGGCCTGAACACCCGATCCCCGTTAGTCGCCTCTTACGACAAGCATGGGTTACTGAAGGTTCATTCGAACCCGGACCTTCATGGGTCTATTTAAGATGTACATTGCATTTCAAAGCACATTTTCTACATGATAAATTAATATGATTTTTTTAATTTTGTATTCTTAGGGACCTTCACAGGGTTTATTTCTATATGTGCCTTTCAAAATTCAAGATTCACTGTATCAATATAGGCTGCTTGCGTTTATTAAGTAGAGTTATCATGGAGTAATAATGAATTATGAATTGTTTCGTAAATTTATACAAAATGTCATCATCAATCATTACTCCATGTCAGAGTACTGTATTTACTGAACATCAAAACAAACTAATCACAAAAGTTGATCAAAACAACAACAACCAGGTAACTTTTCAAAAACCTTGATCTTTCAAATCAGAAATGAAATGATAAAAACTGACTCATGTCAATAAAATAACACTTTAAAAAAGCTTTTTTCAGCAAAACTATATCAACTAATCTGTGTCACAGTCCCTGAACCATATTACTTTCCCTACAGCCTTGCCCTCCCTGAAATGCTAAGGCCCTAAATGAAGCAAGTCTAGATTTCCCCAGGTTCTGGTTTCCCTTGGGCTCCTTTTCACTTAGGTTTATGTGTTACAATTAAAATTACATATATTCAGAAACTAAGCGTTAGTCTGTATATCAACAAACAATGACATATGATGTAAACATTAGGTTATCAGCTGATCACAACAAGTAAGTATGTAGGTATGTGAGGAGCTCTCTCTTATCTGTGTTGTGTGGATTGGCCCACACTGATGAGTCACTAGTCTGTGAACTTGGTAAACACTACTACACCCTCAATGACCCAACAATTAACACCTAGACTGCTGCATCCAACCTCTCCCCACTCATGTAACACGTGTGCATACACCAGCTCTCTCCACATGGGAGGTTGGATTTAGTGTTATGGGTGCACATACAGTATACATACAGGGTCATCATTATTTTAAGCATGTGATATCCATGAATAGTATTAATTGGTTTTCATATTTTTTCAGTCAACCTGCACTAATAAATATTCAAATTTTTCCCATCTAATGAGTAACCTCTGTGCTACTGACAATAAGTATATTTACATTTTTTAAAATTATCTTGAGTAAATACTGTATGAGTTTCACAAGTCTTGACATGTTAATATAGCAAAAGGAAACACAAATTCCCAACATCCTCCGTTGAATGAGTTTCCAGTTTAACAAGGTTTTCCAGTGAGTTTCCAGTTTAACAAGGTTTTCCAGTGAGTTTCCAGTTTAACAAGGTTTTACAGTGAGTTTCCAGTTTAACAAGGTTTTCCAATGAGTTTCCAGTTTAACAAGGTTTTCCAGTGAGTCTCCAGTTTAACAAGGTTTTCCAGTGAGTTTCCAGTTTAACAAGGTTTTCCAGTGAATTATAAAAGGAGGAAAACGCACAAAATACAAAGTGAGTGTGTTTTAACACCTATCTGAACAGCTATCTCATGGAATGTCAACTCCAAATCAAGATGAGCAAAGGATTTTTTGGTATATATATTATGAAGCCCAGTTTAAATTCTTGCAGCAGATAGCAGTCAATACTTCACAAAAAGATATAAATTTGAAGACCCCTTTGATGAGAGAATTGTTATTCAGTAACAAATGCTTGTCTTCCCCATGAAGATCTTGGTAAGATCTCCAGCAGCTCATGACTGCCATAAGATGATACTTTAAATTTGGTAGTCAGACTTGCTGACACTTTTGATGTATGACATCATTATCTTAGTTGCTTATATTGATGCTGTAATGTTAATCACTTGATTGCCAGCCCCAAACATTTACAGCTTGACACCACAGCTGGAATAGTGAGTGAGTGAGTATGGTTTTACGCCGCTTTTAGCAATATTCCAGCAATATTACGGCGGGGGACACCAGAAATGGGCTTCGGCGTGACTTGCGAACGCTTTAACCACTAGGCTACCACTGTTGGAATAATGTGGAGTGCAACAATTAAACAATATAATGAATATGCATGTCAATTCCAGATGTAATTGACAGACAACCTAAATCCTGTAATTACAGAAGTGACCATGACAACCCTCTCCTGACACCAGTTGTGTATGTATAAGCCAAGCTTCACCTGGGAGTGTTTGCATGTATGTTGTTTTACACCACACTTAGCAATATTGCAGCTATATGGCAGTTGTCTTTAAATTATCCAGTTTGGATGAGACAATCCAGTGATCAACAGCATGAGCATCGATCTACGCAATTGGATTACGATGACATGTGTCAACCAAGTCAGCGAGTCTGACCACCCGATCCCGTTAGTCGCCTCCTACGACAAGCATGGGTTGCTGAAGACCAATTCTTATCCGGATCTTCACCGGGTCGCCTGGGAGTCATCAACAGAAGTATAGACATAGCAATTACCTTGCAATCCATGAGACCAACGACATTTTCATGATGGAGATCAGACAGCTCCTGAAATGAGAAAGTATACTTTGGCGAAACATATAAACATATGGAATTGATATTGACCGTATCAGATATGAGGAACTCTACATGATGAAAACAGCTATAGAATACCCATCCTGGTAGATATGAAAACAGTGTAACTCCTCACTCCTCATATACTGGTAGATACGAATATATCCACAAATGACTCTACATTAGAATATGATTTGTTGTTGTTGGTGGTGGTTTGCTCTTTAACGCTGCACTCAGCAATATTCCAGCTTTAAGGCGGCAGTATGTAAATAATCAAGTCTGGACTAGACAATCCAGTGATCAAGAGCATGAGCAACGATCTATGCAATTGGGATAGAATGATATGAAGTAACTCTATACTGGTAGATATGAATATTAAAGGCATAGAGTAATTGTTCTTGCAGATATGAAATAGGCCAGAGTAACCCAGACTAAAATCTAGACTCTAAAATTAACATATTTTTCAGAAAAACAGTTACTAAATTATATTCTTGAATATAATAGAAATGAAAGACCTTTTTCATTTTCAGAAAACTGTGGTAATCTGAACTTGCCACATATTCCAGTCTTATATGGGCTGCATTGGATATATTTGTTTCAGGGTCTGTATGACAGACTAAGAGTAACCCTACATTGGTGGATATGCAAATTATCCTGAGAAAATATTTAACCATCCCAAAACAACACAGCATGCCCTGTCTAGTTTCAGTTACTTCATCATGAAAATCAGAAACCTCTCCTATTTCTGAGACACGCTCATTCAAACTAAACTATTCCCATTTCAAATACTGAATTCAAATTAGATTAAAGTTAGAATTGTGAGAAGCAGCCAAGGCCTACACTGCAATGATTAATTCATAGTTGAGAATTACAACCAAAGACCAGCAAACGGTCATTTGTATGCCTCACATTATGTGCATCCTGCTGTCAAACTGACCACAGCATGTTACCATCTATAATTCAAAGGCTGATCACTGAGAAAATTACAGACAGAGAACTTTGCCACATAAAACCTGGAACTCATTGCAGCCAAAAATATTCTGATTTTGACCATGTGGGGAATAAACCCAATGATGCAATTCCCAAGCGTTCTCACAACTTGAGTTTGCAAGCGTTGCTGCTTTCTTCAATCAATACTGGTTATCCAACACAAATTATTGATATTTGTATCCATTGGACATGGGCACCATTTGAATGTTAGATCCTTGATAAGGTGAATTATTTTTATTAACTTGTTTTCATATTGGGGGGTTGCTTTACTGCATCATTTAGGGAAGACATAGCTCAGTATTTCTAGCATCAGACTCAGTGACTGCTAAAATTGAAGGAGCACATTCAAAATAATTAGCTGGTGCCTTGATAAGGGGAACTGTTTTTAAATAAACTTGTTTTCATATTGGAGTGTTGTTTTACTACATCATTTGCAGAAATGACACTGCCTGCCAGTGATTTTTCCGGACAATATTTAAGAAAGGCAGGGTTTAGTATTTCTAGTATCACACTCTCAGTGACTTACTATGCTAAAATTGAAGTAGGATATGCAAATTAATTTACTGGTACCTTAGATGTAAACCTATATTAAAAAGAGGGAAATACACCATCTATTGTATGAAGCTAGTGATAGTTTCAGATAACTTAACAGTACAGGAACATGCAAAGTGAGGTAATAACAAACAGAATTATTGTTTTCCTGACATTCAATCAATGAAATATGTTAAATTCACTCTCTTCAAACTTTCTTTCTGTATGGTAAAATTTGCTCATAATATACCGGATATACAGACAAGTTAAGGAAAGGAGACTTGAAAAAACATTTGCCACAAACTGGACTTGTAGCATAAATACTGAAAATAGGGAATTTCTATTCAGGTCAAATACAACTGATAGCAAAAACCCAGCAATGAATACAGAATGTTTCGTACACCAGTCCTTATAATGATAACCTACAGCAAAACCCTGAAATTGGCAAACAGCAACTAGACCTTATGACACTTTACCTACTGAGCAATTTGGCAGGGACCAAAGGATTAATGCCAATTTCTGCTGCTGCTAACCTGTGCATATTTCATCTATCACGATACTTAATACTGGCGGGGCGGTGGGGTAGCCTAGTGGTTAAAGCGTTCGCTCGTCACGCCGAAGACCCGGGTTCGATTCCCCACATGGGCACAATGTGTGAAGCCCATTTGTGGTGTCCCCTGCCGTGATATTGCTGGAATATTGCTAAAAACGGCGTAAAAACCATATTCACTCACTTAATACTGGCAACAACAGATCTCATTCCAGTCATAAACCCAGTTCAAAAGATACTGTCACCTGATGAACATGTTAGATTCTGCTGAAGACAAAGGAAAAGTGAGTTAATTATTCATACTGAGCAGTAAAATGTTGGCTTATTTCCAACAATTACTGTACTGCCTTACCTGCAAAAGAGGAGGGAAGCTTTCAGCATCCAAACAACCATTAAAGTTTTAGAGGTTATATTTACTTAAGTTGTTTGCAGTTAATTGTAGATCTATTTCAGAACAGCTAGTTCACATATATATTATCTACTGAACGTGAAAGGTTTCTTTGCACTAGCTTCCACTGTGTGAAAAATGTTTTGAGACTTGACAAACATGACAAAAGCAAAAGTCATCTTAACTGCTGGTCCTCTGGCATGTGACAAGCAGAAATGGCAGATGTCCAGCTAATTCAAAATATTACAGATGCTCTTCATGACATCTTTGAAACTGACTGTGTAGGAAGAAGGAATATATTTCTCCTTTGATTTCACTAACAGGCTATGAATCTATAAAAGTAAACTATATTGACTATACTGTGTGACCTCTTTTGACATATATGTCACCAGTATATTGAACCTTGGGAGAGTAAACTGTGAGCGCAACCTGGCTCCAACACAGCTGACACACTTTGAATGTAATGGCCTAAATGTTGCATCCGTTCAAAACAAAATTTGAGTCACTTTTTAACATGCTAACATCATGATAATGATGCAGTGTATATTAACATATTAACAGAGTTAAAACAGTAACAATCAAAAAGAGGAGTGTCTGCAATTCTAGTGTTGGGAAGGTTATTACTAACAAGATATTCATGTAATAAGCATTGTTTTAAGTCACTTGGACAGTCAAAGTAGCCAAAAGGCTCACATATGTTTGAAGCAGTATATTTTGCCTTAATTTGTTGCCCGCAGCACATACACAAATATATATTGTTATTATTTCAGTTGTTTTTCACAGTTGAAACAGAACAGGACAGAATATATCCGTATAGTCTGGTCATGAGGCCAATAACAGATGACTGGGTAATCATGATAATATTGCATAGTGTGACAGAGAACTTCGATCTATATTGGTTTGGAATTTCTAAGTTCAAGCATTTTTAGAAGAAAATGAGCTAGCAGGAATAAAATGCTGTAATTCAGGGGTGGAAATAACTTTAAAATTGCTAGTGTACTCTAGTACAGTGGCACATGTAAAATCATTTTTCCACTATACTGTCCGTTTTCTTGTTGATTTTTTAAATAAACAACATAATTAACATTGGAAAGTCAACTGGACACCGGTACAGTGTGATATACAAATTTGCTTGCCCAACAGAAAAAAACACTGGACTCGGACGTCAGACAATGGGTTATTTCCACCCCTTTAATTATGTGTTGTGAGTAAAGATACACCTGGAGATAGGAATAGTGCATAGTATTCATCACAAGCACATAAGTCTTCCATACAGAAATTGCATAGACTGTCAACAAAGTTATGATGGACATACATAGACATTCTATAGTTGTGCAAACTAAAATATTACGAACATAATTAAAAATTGGCTATGTATTTCTAATCGATAGTAACACAGCAATTCAAAAAGAAAAAGACATAAGAAGAAACATAAGATGAAAAAAACGCACATAATGTACATAACTCAGTCATTTCTAGGATTCCAAACTGACTGCCTCTTGCTGGCAAATCAAGAGAAAACTTCAAATAGATTAACAGTGATTCATTTTAATGATTTTTTTCTGTAAATTCAGTGGAATTGGGAAAGTTTTAATTAAAATTGGGAATTTTGACTGTCACTTGGCCACTGAGCAGGTCGAGATGAATCTCAGTAACTGTGTATGTCGTGCATTTCAAAAACAATATTTTATAACATATAACCAACTTTCCTCTACTCTTTGGTGAAAAGTTCCTTTGTGCAAAGAGATTGGCAGAGGGTGATAAAGATTAGACACATTATTTGACATAGAGGTTCCCAAAATGTTTTAATCCGCAGTCACATTATGACTCACAAAAGTATTTTCCCTCTGCAGGGACTTCTACTGACATATTAGAATATATACTGTACTGACACTCCTGTTAAGCTGATTGATTTATTGTGTTTAAACAAATTTATTCACAAAGTGAAAAGGACTGGGGACAGGTTATTAAAACTAATAGAAACTCACTTCAAGAATATTTCAACGACAAATTACATCACAAGAAGCTATTAGAAACAGACACAGAGGAAGATTGACAGTAATAAGGAAGTATTGTAATACAAAAGGTACAGTGTTAGAAACTTCTGAAATAATATATTGTGTAACCCTAATTACCATAAATAATTGAATACTCTTTCTAGAATCTCAAGGGAATTAACATGTTAAAAGAATGGTTAATCTTCACTCTGGACAAGATTTCTTTGAAGTTGTGCTCTTTTCACATTGAGTAGAGGAGACTGGTTGTGTCTAAATCACACCAGTGTTGTATACAATGAACATCTATATTGAAACAATGTCCTAACAACTTATCAATGTTTTCTTAATCGAGACATTTGTTTATCTGACTGACTGAGTTTGGTTTTACGCCGCTTTTAGCAATATTCCAACAACATCACGGCAGGGGACACCAGAAATAGGCTTCATACATTGTACCCATGTGGGGATTCGAACCTGGGCTTTCGTCGTGACGAGCCAACGCTTTAACCACTAGGCTACCCCACCGCCCCTTGTTTATCTGAATTACCAACTATATCACAGTACACATTGTGGTTGTTTTGCACTACTATGTACTAAGGGAGAAAATATATGTAAAAGAGCCTGATGCATAAGAATGCATGGCTTTCAATACATGATACACCTGTACTACAATACATGACGGCCTAGTGGTTAAAGCATCTGCTCGTCACGGTGAAGACCCAGCTTCAATTCCCTACATGGATACAATTAGACTAATGCTTAGTCTCTGAATATATATAATTTTGATAGTAACAAACAAGCCCATTTAAATTGAAAAGGAGCCCCAGTGAGACCAGAGATTCAGAACCTGAGGAAATCTAGACTTGCTTTATTGAGAGCTTTGGCACTGCAGAGAGGCTTGGCTGTAAGGAAAATAATGTGGTTCAGGGACTGTGAGACAGACTAGGGTACAATGTGTGATGCCCATTTCTTGTGTCCCCCCCTGTGATATCGCTGCGATATTGCTAAAAGCAGAGTAAAACTAAACTCACAATACATGACTATACAAAATACATATTTAAATCTTTCTTTAGGAAAGGGAGACCAAGCACACAAGGGACAAATTAACTTTGAAAATCCACCTCTGTTCTACCAGTCAGCTATGAGGGATCAGTTTCCCTTTCCTGTTTCTTTATGATGGGAAAGGTATAACCAATCTGTCACTAATTTTCCATACATCTGAAATATATGAGTATTCCAGTTCATGGCCTTTGTGTTGCCATTCAGCTGGTGTAATTATCATCATATGCATAGTATTGTATCCGGTGTACCAGGAAAAGAATCGTACCAAAGCCTTCTGTATAACTGGACACCTACTGAAGACCTATTCTACCTAGGGATAGACATGAAACTATTTCAAAGGGAACCAGACTGATAATTTAGGTGTGCCTTTCTGACAATAGTTGTTGACATACCTCTTCATGATCTAAACATAAAAATAACAACAATAATGTCATTTAAATGTATTGTTTGAAAAATACATAAACATCATGGAAACCTGGAAACCTGAGAGCTGGATTTCCTAAACTCTATCATGACTGCAAGAATAGTTAAGTTTCATTGGTCCTGGACCCATAAACAAACCCATAAACTAGGTTATCATCCAAACGTTGATTTCCTGTTATACACACTGGCATTCACAACAGCCACACCTATGTTGAGCTATGAGATTAAGAGTGTCTCCGTAAAACATTTTGATGAGGAGCCAAAATAGGTTTGGAATGATTTGAGTTGGTCAAATTTATCAAAATGTTCCATTATATGACTCATAGTGAGTATTATAATCAGAATTTTCGGGCACATTGAATATATTTCATCCATACCATTTGGCACACAACATTAAACACTTTTTGATCCATTGCCCACAAACACAGGCTGTAACATTACATGTACAGATCACATAGCAAAGCACAATGTCTAATACATTTAGCCCCTTTTCTATAGCCTGTGCTCGATTAGGCCCCTTTTGTTCACAGTGAATTTCAGGACTAAAATATTTTTAAACAAATCAACACCGAAGAAAATCTGAATGAACAATGTCTACTTAAAATGCTCAAAAGAAGAAAAACACAAGCCTCAGATTTGTTAAATGAAAGTATCTTTATGCAAATAAATGCTGAAAATAATGTGGCAAACATCCACAGTTTTATAAACCTGAATAGCTTCACCATCTGTGACAGTTCCTGCAGATAACGTCTACCCATATACAAAACACAGGTACAAAACGTCCACCTAAAACCTGTTAATCCAGATGATTTTATTAGAAGCTTTTACTGGTAATAACATGTCAGAATATCTCTCTGCTTCAATGCATGTTATCACACTTGGCTGACAGTATTCAGGATTATTTTAGTAACACCACAGGCTATGCATGAACCATCAATATCCTGTTTCAGATGACTGTCACTCACATATTGACACAAACACCTTTGCCAACAGTCACCAACATCTCGTCAACACTGATATTAGCCTGTATATTGCTCACATATTGACTAGTCTCCTAACGTGTACTAATACCTCCAGGCTACATAATCAGGGAATAGTCCCTTACTCCACTATGATTCAGCATATTAATTTGACAGACCAATGCCCACTGGTCAGACACACCTAAACCTCGCTGATCGTACACAGTGAAGTCTCTTGATGAAGACGAGTGATTAGTCATAAGTGACCTCACCTTGAGAATCTTGATTTCCTTGCTGAGGAGCTGCTGAGATTTGGCAATGTTCTTCTTGGTTATACTCTTGATGGCGACAGCCTTGTCAGGTCTCTGTAAAATAATTTCAAAACATTATTGTTACACCCATGGCAACAGGTCAGTTAGTCTGTCTCACAGTCCCTGACCTGCCTTATTTTCCCTTCCATTCTGCTCTGTGGTGTAGTGCTTAGAGCGTCCGCCTGAAGAGCGGAAGGTCGCGGGTTCGATCCCCGACCGCGTCATACCAAAAGATGTTAAAATATGGTACTTGTTGGTCCCTGCCTGGCACTCGGCATTAATGGGTACATCAAGGACTGGTCAGCTCGGAGTCAGTATAATGTGTCTGAGTGGGGTATTCATGCTTCACTGAGGCATGGTATCTCAGTGGGCTAGCACTATAAAACCAGCTTCAGTCTGGGCTAGTACAAGCAGCCGCACATACACATACACACGCATGCACGTCGTCATATGAGCGAAATATTCTCAAGCACGACATTAAACCCAATTCCACCTCACCTTCCATTCTGAAATGCTAAGGCCCTAAATGAAGCAAGTCTAGATTTCTTCAAGTTCTGAATATCTCATCTCACTTGGGCTCCTCTTCAATTTAAAAGGAATTGTTTGTTTCTATCAAAATTATATATTTTTAGAGACTAAGTGTTAGTATACAAGTCAGCGAGGGTGACAAGATTGAAATTAATGTTGAATTAGAACAGTTCAAATTCTGTTTGTCTCTGTTGATGTGGTAAATATCATGATTAACGACCATGGTAAATGGACAAAAGCTGCACGTTACATTCATCTATCTAACTTTTTGATACAAGAAAACACTAAGTCATAATAAACGGCTTAGACTTGCACAATTATCTAAAACAATGATTATCAGTTTAAATCGAAACTCTTAGATCGCAAAATACACAAGAAAAGCTGACCCTTTAGAAAACTAGGTCCTTGCACTATCCGCATATCTTAACTTGCCTATTGGGCTGGAATTAGTACAGTAGAGTATTGAAACAAAGCTTTGAAGAAGAAGATGGACCAATGTTTAAACTGACTGTTTAGTAGATAGTTGCTTACCGAAAAACAACTGATTGTTTTACGCATCTTTTATCATGTCTGATACTGAGTCTGATTGTCACCTATCATTTATCTTAATGTTAGAAAATAAAGATCAATGCTTTTGTCAGTCACTGAATTGTCTGGCCCAAGTTTGATTTTTTACAGACTGCCATCGTCATCATCATGCAGCTGTAATATTGTTGAGTGTGGTCTTTTACAAAATCATCATAACTTTCTTAAGTAAATACATGGATCTCAACACTTAAGTTTTTTAACATTATTGCAGAGAATATGGACAATGGAATAGAAAATGAAAACAAATAACAACATGCTCTTGGAATTGAATAGTTATCACATTCTACCAAATCATTACAGAACACCCAGAAAACATAAATCATCTACCACAGGCTCAGCATGCTTCAAGCAGGATATGCCCTCACATGGCTGTGAAACACAATGTTCATAAAGGGCTCCCTTTCATCTTGAGTTCTCCTGGCAATTACTGGCCATTTATGAGTCTCTTAACTGTTCCTCACTCCTTTTGTGAACCATGTCAGCAGCCACCTTGTCAAACTGTCCAACTGACCATTGGCCATTCAAGCATGACAACAACAGTGTTAACTAGATAGTTTTCCTTTCTACAAGTTCTAAGACATACCTTTTTCAAATTGCTAGGTTTGGGGAAATCATTACAAGTTTATAACTCACAATAATTATAAATCTGTGAACATATAATAAGGGTTTCTTCAGATACAGAATAGTACAGAATGGGCTCTGATAAGATTCACTGGGAATCGCAAGGAAGTGTGTGTTTGATGTTTTGACACAGCACTCAGCAGTATTCCAGCTATATCATGGCAGTCTGTAAGTAATCTGGACTTGACAATCCAGTGATGACATCCTGAGTAGTGATCTACTAAAAATAGAATACAATGGCATGTACCAACAAAGCCACCACCTGATTCCAACAGTCATCTTTTATGACAAAAATGCGTTGCTAAAGATCAATTTCTAACCTGGATCTTCACATGTTGGATGGAAAACTAGTACGGATATTAGGATGAATGAAACTAAATACATGTACACTTGAGCATGTACATAGGATTTATCTCATATTTGTTTGATCAGAAATAACTCTTATGTGTCGATAGTTATTAAATATCTCCAAAATGACTATGTTACCTTCAGATTCTAGAAATATATTTCAAAACAAAGATATTTAAATTAAATAAAACTTTCAGTTTCAAACGTCAATTTCACGCTTAAACACAAATGAACATTTTCATGATTTTGAAATTTTAACATTGATTGCTAAACAAGCTAAAGTAAACATAAATCCTCTTTAACAATACCAATATGATAGTCAATGTAGTTATTGCAAAGGAAGTTAATGGGTTTTTTCACCAAAGTTTCTTTTGGGCATGGTTATGAACCTACACAGCTAATATCATGATAATACACACGACGGACATCCCATGACAACAAAATCTCTTTTGACTGCTGAAATTAAAATACATTTGGAAAATTAATCCTTAACACACCAAATCAGGTACCTATCACAACACATTTAATTAACAACTTGATGTAACTGAAGTTCTTGAAAGGCCTTTAGGAGTTGGACGAACATGAATACCCTGATTGAAGGGTCGAGGGTAATTAGACCAGATGTTATAACACTCAGTTCACTAATTAACTACCAGCATCAATTACTGACATATGTCTTCGGCCTGGGGCAAGAAACATACAGTTACACTCTATGATGCTACTGTACACTATAATGTAGGCATTTGTTGATGAATTGAGTTTACAACAACTCAGAATATGACTGACTGACTGAGTTTGGTTTTACGCCGCTTTTAGCAATATTCCAGCAACATCACGTCGGCGGACGCCAGAAATGGGCTTCACACATTGTGCCCATGTGGGGATTCGAACCCCGGTCTTCGGCGTGACGAGCCAACGCTTTAACCATTAGGCTACCCCACCGCCCCCTCAGAATATGAAAGCACTTTAATCAGGGTAACACAAAACACTCACCCAAATAACAACACATAGTAAACCAGTTTGGGTTGATGTATCTTAACTATTCATGATTAACAGTGAAATATACCCTTTAATATAAAAAACAAGTAGGGGAACTTGTACTTTCATAAGTTTCAATTTGGATAGAAAGTACAAGCGTTAAGAAACTTGTCAAAGACAGACATCTCATGAACGCACCATTATTTCTCTTTATCACCACCCTAAACACAATGCATGGGATGCACGTGCACAATGCAGTTGCCCCATACACATGCATGGGGTTTCATTCTTTAGTTTGACGGTTTTCAAGAAAGTCAATAAATCACTAAAGACCATTAATTTTGACAATCATCTTACCTCACACAGTTGTTAGTGTTTGTTTCTAGCCAGGTTTTTTGGTTTGAAAATGAAAACCGTACACATGCAAATTTCATGTCATACACCAATCATCTTTCAAGAGAGATTACTGTACAAACAACTATGGTCATAGGAAGTGCAAGTGGTGATGCACTCTCAAAACATTCATTATTATAATATCAACACTGATTGACCCTGATATATCTCGGAAAATATGTTCAATCGTAAATTTAAAATGAAGTTCCCCCACGCTTTTTGAAGAGTATACAACAAATTAGATTAACTATAAGCTTGGGCAAATATAGGCGTATTGTCATAATTCTTAGCAAAGGGATTAACATTCTCTTAACAAAGTCAATTCTTATCAAAATTATGATCATGACTGACCAACCTATGCACACACTAAATAAGTAGATTATGGATATGTGAACACTGTATTGCAGACCTTAGAGGAAGAAAGCCTAGAGCACAGGGATGATAATCATGCATAGGTCTGGCTTCAATTTAAATAACATTTTATTTAAACATTTATATCTACAACTAAAAGTTAGTCTACAAGTAAATATATTTCATTAATTCCAAAAGAAGTAGTACTACCATAAATGCAAGATCTGCCCATTGTTCAATTGTGACATGCAAAGAACACAAAGGAAAGCTTACAAACACTAGAACAAAGGAAATAAGCTCTGTAGGTACATAAGTAAATAAACATTATTGGGATAATAACAATCAAAGGAAACATTTTACTGGCAATGGTTTTTAATAGATGAATGTCAGCATTTGATGTCATTCTGACAACATAAAATAATATTTCATATGAACCAAGCATGAATGTTACAATGTGATGCAACTTCCAGTAATCTCACTATGTCTACCATGGTGTGTTTATTATTGTGTGGATCTATTAATAGACATATATATGACCTACTATGTGGCTTTACCTATGTCATATCCAGGTGCGTCATTGCCTTTTCTAAACCATTACTGATCTAATCATTCAAATTAAATATTGTTTTGGGGTTGAATCAAGACGTTAGCAGGCCTATAAAAACTGGACTTTTCCCCATACACTGACCATTAGATGCACCAGGAAATATTTCTCACAACAAAGGACAAGGGAAATTGAATTCCAGGATTTTCTATATTTTGAACAAAATGACCCCCAAAGTTTACGTACAATGTTTGATAACAACATTTACAAAAGTGTATTTTGATGTGAAACCTCAGAATAATGGATTTGAAACATTGGATCACACACAATTTTCACAAAATTCTTCACGCAATCTATTGTTTATACTGACGTAACAAAGACGGGATAGGTTCACAAGAGAACTTACACGATGATAAAATAGATGTCCTAATGACAACAACAACCAATTTGAGCAAACATGACGGCATTGCCGTGATGGAATTTGACAGGCATTGTTCAACTGACAGTCTGAGAATTCGGTGCCATTAGAACCTTACCTTCCGACTTCGTCCTTTGAAGACAACAGCGAATGCCCCATGGCCGATGAGGTCTTTCTTGTTGTATTCGTACTCCCCAAGATTCTCCATACTGTATCTTGAAATATCCAAGATCTATGGACCGATATTAAAAATGATATTGGAATAGATGAACGACCAGAGCTGACAGAATCTGGTCTGGGCCATCATTGATGGCTGGGTTAGAGGCGATTTACATGATCGCAAAAGTCCAACATGACTCATATAAAATCTAGGACTCCATTTTGAAGTTAAATATTGTCAGTACTGTTCCTGATCTTCACGGACATCGACGTAATCAGTTGCTTTTGACAACGCAAATTTATTCTTTCTTCTCAATGCGCTCGTATGTCAGTGACCACCTGATTATGTTTGGGTTTTGACCGTTTCGCCGCCCGTCATCCGCCTTAAATATAGGGCGCTGAAGTAAGACGCCCTATATTATTGGTAGATTTACGGGTTTTTTATTTTAAAGTATGTAATTATATATATGTACATTAATGATGTCTAGAAAATATAAAATAGTTAAATGACATTTGATTCTGCATAAATCGGTCAACCACGAAATATATTCAATTAGTTCCATGAATATATTATGCCGCGTTCGAAAGTAGTGCACGCACCTTGTCAAATTATCGTGCTATCTCGCGAGAGTTAAATGTGCGTGGTTTTTGTGTATAGAGAAGAACCACGTGGTACAGGCCTAAGATGAGCAATTATGCCATTATACATACATATTTGTCACTGTCATCGAAAACGCAACATAATTACTTAAAGTCGCATCTTCTGGACAGTATTTTCGTGGTGTTTAGATGAATTTGAGCTGAGGTAAGGCCTCCACATGTTGCACAACTTTGCATTTTCGACCAAAACTATGGCGCTTGCATACGTACGATCCAATCGGGATTCTGATTAATTATGAGTGCGTGTTAGTGTGTGAAGAGATATGTCATTGCAGTTAGTCACTTGCGATTACTTGTAGCAGTATTTGCTGTTGAAATTCGTATTTGTGTCTGTCATTTATAGATTAGATGCCGCCCACGAGATCCATATAAACACTCGCGGTGGAATGTTTTGATTATTGTCAAGGGCAAGAGAGCCCATTGCCGTCTGCTGTGAAATATAAACAAATGTACCATGTCAGTGTAAACATTTAAGTATTAAATTTTACATTTGATTTCGCGATTAATATTATATTCTCTAAAATATTTGTTTGTACATGATGTACGCGAAAGCTTCTACGCATTTTTTGGATGTGTTGTTATGACGATTTGTATGAAGGCCGTGGAAACGGTGAGATCGTCGATTAATCAAAGACACTTGTATTGTCGCACTTTAACCGTATCAGTTGTTTTGCTACTGAGATGAATGAAGTGTCACTGCATTTGATCACACCGAAAATGCAGCCTTTTCTCTGATGTGACTCGGAATGTGATGTCACTTTCACTTTGTAATTCAAGAGTAACAGTAGATATGTTAGGCCAGTTTGATTGCATATCATGATTCGATCAGGCTATGACAACAGCAAGTTTCAATCTCAGATTACATGGCATGACTTTATAGTGCTCATAGACTACATCACTGGCTTTTTCGTCAGTGTCAGTGACCTTGATCTCAAGGTCTGGTTGTTTCAGGAAAGAGTGCTCCCAACTCATCCCCTTTTGGATTCCTATTGTACTGGCTGCCGAACAATTATCACCATATTTTAGCAGTATTTACAAAATTACTTTGTCGTTCATTAAATTAATGACTCAGAATTAATTATGATACTTAATTCGCTATTCATTGATGTGTCCAGCCTGTTCATTGCTGAGGATGATGTTTTTATAAAACATGACGGAAGAAAATCATGGCAGTACAAATATATGTTTTCTCACAACAAACTGCAGCTGTTATTGCCATTTCAGAATTTCTCATATATATATAGATTTATGTCATAAAGTAACAACGATTAATTGATTGTGTGACTAGTTGAGTGTTTTTTAACAGTAGATTGATGACAATTAATTAATGACTTTTGTGAACTTGAACTTGCTATTATATAGATCAAGTGACATCACCCCGACTAAGTTAAAAAAGATTTATAGGTTTCATAACTTCATCTTTAATTTTTCCCTTGTGCCACTTACCGTGAAGATTTTTCTTTTGCTGCCCTTTATTGTAGTCAAATACTGTGGGGGGGCGGTGAGGTAGCCTAGTGGTTAAAGCGTTGGCTCGTCACGCCGAAGACCCGGGTTCGATTCCCCACATGGGCACAATGTGTTAAGCCCATTTCTGGTGTCCCCCGCCGTGATATTGCTGGAATATTGCTAAAAGCGGCGTAAAACTAAACTCAGTCAGTCAGTCAAATACCGTGGGGAAAAGTACCAGAATTGTAATTGACCGGAACTGTGCACACGTGATACTGATGCATTGGCGATAACTGCAGCCAGTAGGGTTCCATAATAGTTTTATCAAGTCACAAGTATATTGGACCTGTGAAGATCCGGGGTAGAATAGGTCTTCAGCAACCCATGCTTGCCGCAAAAGGCGACTCTGCTTGTCTTAAGAGGCGACTAACGGGATCGGGTGGTCAGGCTTGCTGACTTGGTAAACACATGTCATCGGTTCCCAATTGCGCAGATCGGTGCTCATGCTGTTGATCACTGGAATGTCTGGTCCAGACTCGATTATTTACAGACTGCCGCCATATAGCTGGAATATTGCTGAGTGCGGCGTAAAACTAAACAGCACTCAAATACCGAATCCAATGGTTATCAAAAGTCAAAACTAAGGTGTCAGATTCGAATCGTTGCAGCCCTGGTTAGTGCTCTATAGTACCAGTCTTATTTTTTATCATTATGATTCTATCTTCCAAAGTTAATGTTATATGTTCTATGGATGCCATATATCCATTGAACATTTCTGCAAAGGTTAACAGTGTGTAGCTGACAGTTGAAAACTGTTATTGATGATGTTATTTCGGGTTATTCTATTTTATTTGTTTTTCTTTTCAGTACAGTGATTAAAGGAGTCAATCAACATGCCAAATTTGCGTCTTGTCTTGTCCATAGCTTTGCCATCAGTCACGGCACTGCTAGGATTTCTCTATTTCTTCGGTCGAAAAAAAGACAAGGGGAAAGGGAGAAAGGCTATCACTTTTGACAAGGTCAAGGACACTTCTCATGAGGTCAAGGACACTTCTCATGAGGTCAAGGACACTTCTCATGAGGTCAAGGACACTTCTCATGAGGTCAATTCTCATGAGGTCAAGGACACTTCTCATGAGGTCAAGGACACTTTCCAAGAGAAAGAAAACAACCATTGTGATGTTGATGATGAAGAATGCAAAAGAATTCAAACACCAGATGCCACGCATCGAACTTCTGATCAGATTCTGCAAAACCGAGAAAGAGACAAACACGACAAGCAAACAGCCAATGGTCAAAAACCTGTGAGCAGAGAACAAGATTTCATCAAAGATGAAATAAACAGTGTGTGCATATCATCTGTCCAAAGACAGCTTGAGTGTTCTCATTTAGTCAAAGATGCTATTCAAGAACTTCCAAGCCAGGCATCTAACTCAGAGGATGTAAATTCGAGTGAACAAACACCTGGGTCGAACGATAAAAGTATTTGGAATACACCTGAGTCTCTGCCTAAAGTAGTGTCACCATCTAGTTCTAGTTCTAGTTCCATGTCATCACCAGATGAGTCTCCTTGTCCAGAATCAGGTGTTGTCTCACAGAACGATGTACCAGTCTCATCAACAGGATCTTCAGATTCTGTACATACCTCAGACTACACCACTGTAAGTGCTAGTAAGACTCTTGCCTCACCTCGTGAAAGCTCTCAGGAAGGAGTTGGTGCTAAGACTCTCAACCATGACGATTCGGTCACTGTGGCAACAGACGTTTTATCAAATGACAGAGTGTCTGACCAGATCTCTGTTTCCAAAGCTGATCATATCCAAACCAGTAAAAGTGATCCAATTTCTGCCAGTAATTCCCACATAGAAGCCAGCTCATCTGTGATTGGTGAACCGTCTAGTTCATTGGACTGTCTATCTACAACTGTCAGTGTTGACTCTGTTGAGGTGTCCAGTGATCACGATTGCATTGGTACAGACATGAACAAGACAATGGACAGTTCTATATCTGTGGACACAGCATCCTCAGTGCAATCTCAAGAAAAAGTTGCTATCAGTTCTAGTGCTGCCAGTTCAACAGGAGCAGACGCGACATTAGGTGCAGAACGATTAATGGATCAAAATGGTAGTGCAGCCATCGCTGGAAGTTCAGAGTCCCCAAGCTGTGATAGTAATAGTGAGGTAGGTTGAATGTGCAGTGAATCCCCACAGGGATTCTGGATGAAAATTTGCCCCAAGTTAAATTAAATGTTTTTGAGAGTTAATGGGTCCGGTGCTGATGACAATGTATGTCATAGCATCCTGATATCACAGCTTGCTGTTCATAATACTGAACATTTTGTTTGTCTAATCCAGTCTTGATTGTTTACAATCAACGCCAAACAGCTGGAAAATAGAGTGCAGGGTTAAACATGTTAATCCTGTTTATTGACAACAAAGTTTGTTTACATGAGAACTTGAGTATTATGATTTCACATTATTATTGTTATACTTATATCTGATGACAACAAATGTGGTTGACCTGCATTTAATATCCAGATCACTTGTGGGCAATTTGGGGCGGTGGGGTAGCCTTGTGGTTAAACTGTTTACTCGTCATGCCTAAGGCCCAGGTTTGATCCCCACATGGGTAAAATGTGTGAAGCCTATTTCTGGTGTCCCCTGTCGTTATATTGCTGGAGTATTGCTCAAAACAGCATAATATTAAACTCGCTCACTAGTGGTCAAATTATGAAATATGGTTTAATATTCTCAATTTCCATGAAATGACACATCAATTCATGTCATTTGAAAGGATTTTGCATACTGTTAATTTCAAAGTAACTAACTCAACGCCTGCCAAATGTCATGATCGTGTCATATGTCATGGTTACTTTGAAAGCTTTTAACGAGTTGACATGTGTTTGGATGTTGAAGTTAAAGGTCAATCAGGAAGTAGACATCTTTAAAGTTGTGTATACACAATAACTTATTATCCACCGCCGCGCATTTAGCACGAAGGGATATAGTATTAGGCTCCGTCCATCCGTCCGTACGAATTGGAATATCTTAAGAACCGTTGACAAAATTCTTTTCATATTTGGTACCTAGGTTCATCACAGTATGCAAAAGGTCCCAGTCAGGTTTGGTGACCTTGACCTTCATTTCAAGGTCACAAGGAGACTTTAACGTCTTACCCTTGTCAGCAAGATACCTTAAGAGTCATTTACTGGATTTTCTTCATATTTGAGACCAAGCTTCATCTTGTGAAGGTGCAGGGCCCAGTTGATTTTGGTGACCTTCACATAGTTTTCAAGGTCACAGCAATACTTTGAAGATTTCAGCATGTTAATCTGCATGTTAAGCTTGTCAGCGAGATAACCCTATAACCATTCTCTGGATTTTCTTCATATTTGATACCAAGCATCATCTTGGGACGGTGCAGGTTGACTGGTCCTGCTTAAACTACAACCTTCACTTTCATTTATATAATTTACGGCGGGGGATTATGTCACCTTAGTGACAATGCCTGTTTATGATTGGAATTTAACCAAACTTTATACTCATAATCTTGTCAGATCATGGCTGAGTTTGAAGGTCAATATGCATGTATCTCTTTTGTAAGGTAGACAGGCACAAGACTTTCAGTTTCAAAGTTGTACTGTGTGGTGGGTTCATCTGTCAACTAAAGGGAAGATTTAGGAAAGGGTGGGGATTAGCTCCTGTTTGACTTACATCATATACATGTGGACACTGGTAATTAAGAATCGTAGTTAAATAGATTAGTGATTGTCTTTGAACGCCATTTAGAAGTGATACATATAAAGGCACGAATTTTTTGGATGTCAACTTCTTTATCATGTTTATTGTGATGGACACTTCATCAGGTGAATAATACACACTGAATGCCTGGCTTCGGATCCCAACATGGGCACAGTGTGAGAAGCCCAATTCTGGTGTTCCCTGCAGTGATATTGCTGGAATATTGCTAACATTGACGTATAATGACTCACTTGATCATCTATGTATTGTGTTTCCAGGCTTCCAATGATAGTGGCAGAGGAGGAAGTGTGTCCGAACCAATGCCACCCCCGATGATGACTTCGGACACTGTCAGATACGAGTTCAACTTTCCGTCAGAGTTATGTGGTCGTCTGATCGGCAAAAACGGTCGCAACATCAACCTGGTGAAGGAAAGGTCTGGGGCAAACATTGCACTGAAAAACAACCCATGTACACCAAACTTCCAGATTTGTGTCATCGAGGGTAGGACTTCATTTTTATTATGTTTGATCGCCATAAAAGTTTGTAATGAACTAGGTCCTGTGTCTTGATATTGATGGAATATCACTAAAAGTTGAACCATGGTCAGTAGGTGTAATGATCATGGAGTGATCGGACAGTCAGGCTCGCGGACTTGGTTGACACATAACATTGTATCCCAATTGTATAGAACGATGCTCATGCTGTTGATCACTGGATTGTCTGGTCCACACGATTATTTACAGACCGCTGTCATATAGCTGGAATATTGCTGAGTGCAGCGTAAAGCTAAACTCACTCATCTTCTACGGTGAATTGGTAGACTGATGAAACTGAAATTTGATGCACGTTTCTTCTGATGATATCACTTTTTGTTCAAATCTTGATTTCAAATTTCACTCACTCACTATGATCCAGGACTTTCCACATCATGATATCTGAGTTTTGCTTGCAACTTAGTTCTGTAACATTGTTGTACAGGCATGCAGTCTGAGATTGATAAAGCCCTGGTACAGATCAGGAAGAAGTTCCCTCGCGGCCAGTTTCCCCAGGTGGACTTCACCCCTCTGACCCAGGTGGTTCAGGACACTCCTATCCTCATGCCTGACATAATGCAGGTGAGTTCATAGTTAGCTCTCATGGGCATTTACCAACCCGCGACGATCTGGGTTTGAATTGGTCTTCAGCAATCCATGCTTGTTATACAAGGTGACTAACAGAATAGGGTGGTCAGACTCGCTGACTTGGTTGACACATTTCATCGAATTCCAATTGCATGGTGTAGGTCAGTGCTCATTAGAACAATCATGAGACTTTCTGGTTCCTGACTACTGGCAAACAAGGATAAGTTGGACGTGCAGAGAACGCGTTTATGAGAAGTATGCGGTGCACGGCAATGAGCAAACCCAGTTGGTTTGTGAAAGGTAGAGCAGATGTAGGCTAGTGCACGTGCAGTGCATCACGATGAAATTGATGCTGCACACGTCTTGCTCATAAGACTCTCACGTGATCAGTGTAGCAAGTCGGTAATATTCAGATTTATAGATATATATTTCGAGAGACATGTCAAAGTTAGGTAAGCACAGTCAGATAATACATTCTCAGACCCAAGAAGTGGTATACAATGATATTAAGTACATGGAAAAAGAATGTACATCTATGAAACAGGCACTGTTAAAGCTAGCAATGCCACCAGTTTATCTCTCTCTTCACCCATCGCACTACACTTGATCGCGGACAACCTGGGACCCCTTCGCTAACAATGGCATGTGCCAGTGGGCAGCACTCATACCTGCTAATACGGGTCAATTATCAGGTCAACTTATCCTTGTTTGCCAGTAGAATATTAACAGATTGGATTCACATGGCTGGGGTATTGCTGAGTGGAGCAGTAAAGAAACATGACAAGTTGTAGGGAGTCCCAACTTGTGAATCTTCTGAAGTCCGGGGTGTCTGATATGCTACATCAAAGACTCGTTTCTACCCTTGACATTTCGAACCTACTCTTTGGTGCCTCCAAAGTGACTGTCACACTTATCAGTAATCAGAGAGTGTTTTACAATGTTGACATAAAGGTTTTCAAAATGGTTGTTGTTGCAATGGCTGCAGTCATTGCCTGTGAAAACCAGTCCTGAAACATTTCCAACAATATAGCTAAGACATATGTTTTTAATGTCGTTTAATGTTTTATCTTATATTTACCAAGAAGCAGTCCTACTTTTTCCGTACACCTTCTGAACATTGTTGTTACCAAGAAATGCAGCATTACTTGATACCGTATATGTAAAACTAAATTGTATCTGTAGAGTATATCATTACCATGCTAATCTGTGTGGGATGAAGATATGCATTGACCCAGATAAGGGAGGTAACTCTGAAGTCATGCCAGACTAATCTTGTGGTCATGTCAACGAAACATAGTTTACTTAGCTTTGCTCAGTAACTGTTCAGTGGATTTTAATTGCTCAGTTGTCAATTCATTGACAACCAAATCTGAAAATATAATAAAATGTCAGATTTCTTCTATTTTCTGTGAAACATATGTCAGTTTCCCAGATGAAAACGTAGTCAGTATTTCCTCCCAGCTGTAGATGTTTGTTTGTATATTTGACTACCATTGAGGAGGTACCCATTGTAGGAAAGCATGTATTGAAATTTTGGCTTTTACTCATTTCATACCCATGAAGATCCAGGTTAGAATGGGTCTTCAGTAGCCCATGCTTGTCGTAAGAGGCAACTAACAGGATCAGTTATCTTTTACTCATTTCCACTTGAAAGTTACGGTTCTGGGTCAAATGAAGGCATAGTGTTTAGAGAATAAAAAAAGTCTTCGGTTTGTTCATGTGTTATTTTTATTCCAGCTGAACCTTCCAGAGGGTGTGTCAGTGGACATTGTAGTGTCCAACATCGTGGATGCTGGCCACATCTTTGTGCAGCAGCCAACCCACCCCACGTTCCCGTCCCTTGAGCGGCTGAACCACTTTATGATGGCCTGCTATACCCAGGACCAGATGGTGCCCCCTCTGCCCAGGCCAATCGAAGGTATGGAGGGGAGTCCACATAAGAGCTGTAGAAATGCTTTATCACAGTATGATAAATATCTAAATTGAAATGCCATAGAAAGAGTGAGTGAGTTTAGTTTTATGCGCATTTTAGCAATATTCCAGCATTTAAGAGCAGGTGACATCAGAAATGGGCTTCACATGTTGTGTCCGTCCTGGGAATCAAACCCAGGTCTTCAGTGTGACGAGCAAACACTTAAAACACCAGACTACCCCACCTCCCCCTTCATAAATGAAGAATTTGGAACAGAAATAACCATACTGAAATATTGTTAAAAGCAGCGTAAAGCAGAACTCACTCACTCATTTATGAAGGGAAGTGAGGTAGCCTAGTGGCTAAAGTTCACTTGTCATGCCGAGGATCTGGGTTCAATTCCCCACCTCACACTGAAGACCATGGTTTGATTCCCCAAGTGGGTGCAATGTGTGAAGCCCATTTCTGGTGTCCCCCCACCATGATATTGCTGGAATATTGCTAAAAGTGGCGTTAAACTAAACTCACTCGTTTATGAGGTGTGTAGATCATTGTTCGAAGTACACTTCCCATGTATGATTTGCAATATCCCTTTTCAGTTGGTGTGATCTGTGCAGCGTTCATGGTTGATGGTTGGTTCCGAGCGCAGGTTGTGAATGTGACTGAGAATTCAGATGAGGTGGACATCAAATATGTGGATTATGGAGGTTATGCCCGGGTGCAAGCAGCGATGTTGAAGCAGATCAGGTTAGTCATGAGCAAGTCGGAAGTCATCACAATCATATTGTGCTCAAACCTAATTCTCGGCTGATTATGTGTCGTCTTTCACAACAGCATGGGATGTTGGTCATGCAAGCAAATCACATCACTGGTTTGCTTGCTCCAGACTTGCTTACAGCCTTATATGAGATTAGAGGTATCACAGTTCATTGATGCTTCAATACATTTCAGATTTACACATGACAAAACTATATACCATGTGCCTTTCCAGTTATTGAATAGTGTTTTAATTCTTTATCAAGTTTTAAAAACATACTATGCACTACATTTTGTTGCAGTAATATATCTTGATAATTTTCATCATTGTGGCTAGTGGCGTTCCGATGATTTAAAAAACCTAAAAAATCGATCGAAAGAAGGATTAAATATGATTATCAATTGTAAAAAATATTTTTGATTAATCAGAATTTTGTTGTTTTTGTATAACACCCTTGTTATCCCACCGGCATATAATGCGGTGGGATATAGTCGTCGCCTCGTCCGTCTGTCCGTCCGTCCGTAATCATTTTGTTTCCGGACCATAACTCAAAGACCGTTCGATATTTTTTAACCAAAATTGGTAGATATGTCAAAAATAACCTAAGGTGGTGCCTTTTGCTATTTACAGATAATTGTCATTTTTATTTTTCTCGGTTTCCATGGAAACGTTTTGGACTTAGTCTTAAAGAAGGGTGGGCTTCGTTTCCGGAGCATAACTCAAGAACCGTTCAATATTTTTCAACAAAACTTGGTAGATATATCAAACAGATCCTAAAGTGGTGCCTTTTGCTTTTCACAGATTTTTGGCATTTTTATTTTCCCCGGTTTCCATGGAAACTTAGTCCCAAAAGTGAGGGGTGGGCTTCGTTTCCAGAGCATAACTCAAGAACCGTTCAATATTTTTCAACAAGACTGGGTAGATATATCAAACAGAACCTTAAGTGGTGCCTTTTGCTATTTGCAGATTTTTGGCATTTTTATTTTTCTTGGTTTCCATTGAAACATTTTGGACTTAGTCTCAAAAAGTAAGGATTGCTTTCGTTTCCGGAGCACAACTCAAAAACCGTATAATATTTTTCAACAAAACTTGATAGATATATCAAACAGATCCTAAAGTTGTGCCTTTTGCTATTTGCAGATTTTTGGCATTTTATTTTTCCCGGTTTCCATGGAAACGATTCGGACTTAATCCCAAAAGTGAGGGGTGGGCTTCGTTTCCGGAGCACAACTCAAAAACCTCTCTATATCTTTCAGCAAAACTTGGCAGATATGTGAGGCAGATATTGAAGTGATGCCTTTTGCTATTTGCAGATATTTGTGATTTATTATTTTCTCGGTTTCCATGGAAATGATTCGAACTTAGTCTCAAAAAGGAAGGGATGGGTTTTGTTTCCGGAGCACAACGCTAAAACTTCTTAAGATCTTTCAGCAAAACTTGGCAGATATGTGAGGCAGATCCCAAAGTGATGCCTTTTGCTATTTGCAGATTTTTGTCATTTACTTTTTTCATGATTTCCATGGAAACGATTTGCACTTAGTCTAAAATCAAGCTGGACTTTAAGTAACTGTCAGATGATTTGTTCTTTCAAAGATGTGGGGGCCGGCGGGGGGATATGTCATCTTCTGATGACTCTTGTATTAAGTATACTAGCCATTTAATTTGATGAATATTCACGAACAAACATGCTCAACAGCATAAAGCTATGCGCATTGTAAAATTTTAACCACTTTTATTGTTTAATTACAATTCCAGTGTCTTACTTGCATGCGTCCATTTCATTGTATGACAGTATTAGTTATAAAAAAACATTAATTAGAAAAACCTGGGGGGGGAAACCCTTAAAATTGGTGATTACATTAAAAATGTATATATTTCAATTATAGTCGATAATTGTTCATGGTTTCTGATTGCTAACACTATTTGTGGCAGAGAAAACTTTACATGATTCCAGACTGGTTCATATCGTAGAATACAGACTATATATGTCAGTGAAACATATATAGTCTACATTAAGGAATTATGCTGACACCAGTCGATTTGGGTGACCTTGACCTATTTTCAAGGTCACCACAACACTTTGACCACTTTTCAAACTTATGTAAATGTGAATTTTTAACTAATCCTGCACTACTTACTTCCTGCACTTATTGCTTACGGCTCGAAAAGCGTGGCTTGCCAGACGATGTCAAAAAGACGTAGAACTGCAATCACTTCCTGGTCTCGGCTGCTTACTCGTCTGCGCATGCGTCACCGGAAGGTGACGTCAGCCACCTCAGATTATTGCTTTTCGCACGCCTCGTTAGACGTGTTGTTTGCCAGCTCAACTTGTATCCTACGGGATTATATTTTGTGAAGCATTAATAAAGACTGACTTTGTGTGTATTTTGTTTTTGTACCTCTACGAGAAGTGTAGGTATTATCTTTCACTTTCTTTTTGTCATTCAGTAGTTCTGTGTAGTGATGTCGCTCGTTTATATACGGTCCCGTCCATCACACTTTCACTTCGCCATTAAAACACTTTGCGCATTTGATACGCCGCTGTGTTTCATTTGGTTCAGGCTTATATACTATACCATATAATAGTGGTATATTTATTGTGCCTGTATTATGGTCTCTTAAACTTTCAGTTATTTTGAGACTTTGTTCTCAACTTTGCTGTTATATTCATTACTTGGTATAATGCGTTTACTGGGTTTTCTGCTTCATTGCAGATCTATGTACAGCCCAGTTGTATACATTGTCGGGGTGGGAAGTCTCGTAAAGACCCTCATCCCCGATGTTTGAAATGTACTACTCAATGTACCTCTGGCCATAAATGTGCCAGCTGCGCTGTGCTATCACCCAAGAGTTTCTCCGTTTATCTACAGGTTGTTAAGAAGCGCCTGGGACAACAGAGACGGAAGAGTATGTCTACTACTTCGACACCGGTCTTGACGACCACTACGTCTACGTCAAGTGTTGCGGCGTCAACTGTGTCAACGAATGCGCCTGTCACCAGCATTCAGATTATGTCTTCGCCGCTTATGTCGCCGGTGTTACAGCGTTTGGCGGGCGCTTGATCGGGCGGCGCTTGGCGCCGGCACTCCCTCACCTCCTCCGCTGTTGCCGATGTCATCTCCACAACGACCGATGGGCCAGCAGTTTGCGCCGTATCAGACACCCCAGCCAGTGTTCCCGGGGCAGACGCCTTATGCGTATCAACCACATACGGGGTTTCCAATGCCTCAGGCGTCTATGATGCAAACGCCATACGGCCACCAGCAGTTTGATGTATCCACGCTCAGCACTCTCTTGACTTTACTATCAGGTCAAGCCGGTACATCAGCGCCTATGCCGTTTATGCCACCAGCTACATCGGCGCTCTCTCTACTGGCCTCCAGCCTTTGCCACCTTTGCCACCTCCGACGATTTCGCCCTCTGCCCCCTCCAGCATCGGTGCCTATCTTGTCAACTTTGTCTGCTCCTGTGCCTAGCGCTTAACGCCTCCGTTAAGTCCGTCTTCGGCAGGCTTAACATAGGTCGAGACCTCGTAGTAAGGCGCCTTCTGCTAAGGCGCCGCCTGCACGTAGCCGCTCCCCTTTGCCGCTTCGCTCACCGTCCTCTGAGAGGGACTTTGCCCCAGACTATGAGGAAGACACGGCTCTAATCACCTTGGCTTTGATCACGTGTTTGACTGGATTGCTGATCGCTTAATAGCCTCAGTCCCTTCACCAGGCCCTGATGTTGCAAAGTCACTTACTATTTGGGACTCACCTTCCTTAATGTTACCAGCACATGAGGCGGTCAGAGAGATTCTCTCTCTACCCTTGATGAAGATTTCGGCGGGAATGTCTCTCAACCCAACTATTAAAGCTTCCTAGAGTGCGTCGCTGATGACTATCCTATTCATGGCTTGGACTTTGCCCAGACAGTGACTAAGGTGGATGAGGAAATGAAACGCGTGTGACAGGTTCTTCCTCTGTGTCCTCCTATAAAGTTCAGGATACAAGGGTCGCGGCTTTGGACTTAGAGCTTAAGCGTATGCTCCGCCCTATATCGGCATTGGCGTCAGCGACTGATGCCATCACTCAGGATCTTAAGGAAATAAATCGGATCGACTGGATCATCTTACAACTATGATGCTATGGCAGGGTAAAGTGATCACTGACCTGCGTGAACACCTTAGGTCGGCGCTTGCCAACGCGTGCGTGCAATTCGCCGGCAAGGCTTCCTCCTTTTCTTCATGGGATTCGAATTTCAGCGAAATTATTCCACCAACCCTGGTCATCGTCGTCACTGTTTAACGATGCCATTCATGATGTTTATCGGCAGGTGTGTGATTTTGCCAAAGGGGAGACTGCCTTGAAAGCGCTTCAAAGGGACAACGTCCTGCCTCCACGCCATCCAACACCTACCAGCCTCGGCGACCGTCTGTTCGGGCGTGCCAGAAACTCAGCGCCGCCTCTCGTGGCAGGGGACGTGGTGCCAAGCCTAGATCAGACAGGGGTGGATATCAAGCGTCGCCGTGCTCCGCCAGGGCGGCGGGCGTGAGGGGCAAGTGAAGTGAGGGACACGCGACGACTGGACACTCCCACCTCCAGTCGCCCCAGTTTATCCTACACCGGTAGGTGGGAGAATAGGGATCTTTTGGGAAAATTGGTCCATCCTAGAGGATCCATACGTCACCGATATATTGAGGCAGGGTTTCGCTCCCTCCTCCTCTCCGATCCACTTCTGACAATGTTCCCGCTCCGGCACAATCACTCTCAGGTTCAACACAACCTTCTAGCGGAGAACATAGCGATTTTGTTGGAGAAAGAGCCATCGAACTCCTCCGTATCCCATCATAACACCAGGGTTTTATTCTCCAATATTCTTAGTGCCGAAGAAAGGGTCCGCGAAAATGAGGATGATTCACAATCTGTCCTATTTCAACGAGACTTTCCTGGAACGTCCTCCGCACTTCCCGAATGACGTCCCTCGAATACCTCAAATCTATGGTATGCGT